CCTTAATCCAGTCTAAGCTCTAGCCAGCGATGCCTTCGCCCCTTGAATCGGCCTCAACTTGCATCGAATCTATCCAAAATCAGAATCACGACGTCAAAATATGCTAAGGGAATGAAGCCCGTGCGAAAATAATCAATTTATAACATAAATCCCGAAATTAACCAACACCTGACCCCGGGCCCATGTCACAGAATTCGATAAAATTTACATCAATAGATTCCTTATCTCCCCATGAGTTCATACATATCAAAAGTCCCAAAATCCGACCACAAATGGCCCCTCAAATCCTCAAGTCAAGGTCTCTAATACCAAGCCCTAGTTTTTCCCAATTTTTAACCCTTAATTTCTATAATTACAGCTCTAATCCATGAAATAATACCATAGAAATGAGCTTTAGGTTCAACAACCTTACCTCAACGATGCTCCCTTGAATTCCCTCTTCAAAATCTCCCAAAGCTCCAAAACCGACTTAGAAATGGTGGAATAACCCAAAAATCGCGAAGGAATGCTTTTATACCTTTTGGCATAGGCTTTTCGCACCTGCGGTCCATATCCCGCTCCTGCAGTCCCGCTTTTGCGGTCTAGACCATTGCATCTACCGTTTCCACTTACTTGACCATTTTCCGCATCTGCGGTTAAAACATCGCATCTGCGCCATCGCAGGTGCGCCTCCTCGATCGCTTCTGCGGTTTCCAGCTAACCTTCCACTTGGCCGCATCTACGGCTCCCTTTTCGCTTTTGCGAGACTGCACCTGCGGTCCCCTAGCCGCAGGTGCGATTATGACAGCAATGGAACATCTTCTGCTGCCAAAACCAACTTCCAAACTTTCGGCCAACCATCCGAAATCTCCCCGAGGCCCCCGGGACCTCAACCAAAAGAACCAACACATCATATACCACTACCCAAACTTGTACCAATCATCAAAACACCTCAAATAACATCGAATCAACCAAAACACCTCGGATTCAAGCCTAAATTTCCAAAATCTTCTGAATTACAATTTTGATCAAAACGTCTACCAAACCACGTCCGAATGACCTGAAATTTTGCACACACATCCCAAATGACACAACGGAGCTAGTGCAACTTCCAGAATTCCATTTCGACCCCTATATCAAAATCTCACCTACCAACCGGAAAATGCCAAAATCCCAATTTCGCCAATTCAAGCCTAAATCTAGTCCGGACCTCTAAAACACATTCCGATCACGCTCCTAAGTCCCAAATCATCTCTCGAAGCTGTCCGAACCACCAGAACTCATATCCGAGCCCTCTAACACATAAGTCAACATCCGGTTGACTTTTCCAACTTAGCTTTCCTCAAAAGAGACTAAGTGCTTCAAACCTTACCAAAACCTTTCCGAACCCGAGTCAACCAACCCGATCACACATAGAACTGATAAACAAAGCAATAAGAAGCAGAAATGGGAGAAATAGAGCGGTAACTCATGAGACGACTGGCCGGGTCATCACAGTTAGGTACAACAACTTCCCAATTCATCTTTGGTAAGCTCCTGGATCAGTCAGCAGTTCATCTTCTGAACTTTCTTGAATCTTCAAATGATCATTATACTCCTTTGTAGTCAACTTTGAATTCATCTTGAAAGGTATTATAGCTGGCTTAGCTGCTCCAAGTCCAAGTTTTGAGATGAGTTCTAATGCATATTTTCTCTGATGCATTAGAATTCCTTTCTCAGACCTGGCAAATTCTATCCCTAGAAAATAATTTAGTTCCCCTAAGTCCTTCATCTTGAAGGTTTGTTGCAGGGTTGTCTTTGTTTCTTCTATCAGTTGTAGACTAGTACCAGTTACTAGCATATTGATAACTAGGGATTTTAGCCTATTTTATGCTCTCGTTTTGCTTAGGGTTTGGTTAAAAGTGTGTGCAAGTATTCTCGAAAGCTAACTTATTGTGCTTGTTTGCAGTGTTTGGTCAAAAAGAGACAAGAAAGTCATAACCAGCTCATAAAGGAGTGAAACCTACACAAGTTCAAAGCTGAGTTAAAAGGGTATTGACAGGAAGAAATAGAAGTGGACGCGGAGGTCTCACCACTAAGGTGGTCTCAGCAGTAGCAAGGTTCATAGAGTCAACCATTAGGCTTAACAGCCACCACTGCCCGCGGTGAAATTGCGCGGTAGCGGTATCATCTGGCGCGACCGCAGTCCAATTATTGCCCTAAGTGGAATGAAGAATCAGAGAACTAAAATTTGGAGATCAAATTGAAAGGCGCGGTCCGCGATCATATTTCGCGGCCGCGGGTGAAGGAGCGTTGAGGCGGTTGATTTTTCGCTCCCAGCGGACTCAAGTTCAGAACCCAGCTCAGAAGAGAAGAACCGCGGTCTGCGCTTGCTTTTGCGCGACTTCGGAAATCATAGCGTTGAGGTGGCCTATTTTCCGCTGTCAGCGGAATCTCCGTAGGGGCAATTTTGTCCGAAAAAATTAGTTGTGTATAAATAGTTCTTTTTCAAATTTTTAGGGAATCTGTTATTTTTTGGAGCACGTGAACAACCTCTTTTTGTTTTTAGAGTAATTTTAGAATATCTTTAACAATTAATCTTAGATTTTACTCTTGTAATTACTTTTTATGGCTTATATTTCATCTCCATCTTTGATTTCTTCTTTGATTATGAGTAGCTAAATGCATTAGCTAGGGTTAGTGTGGGTCTTCAATTTTAGGGCTTAAATGTTTATGGGTTAATAATATTTAGCTCAATTCATGCTTTAATTGTTGAATTAGTGGTTGCAAACACTGATTTGTGCCTTGACTTAGGCTCTTCTTGAGAAAGAGACACTAAGTCTAGGAAATTCAACCTAACAAGGAATTGGGGTGCATTCAATCCAACTTTGCTTGCATTGTTTAAACACTCAATTGGGCTTGAGAAAGCCAATTAGGGCAAAGTCACTCAAACTACCAAGATGTATAGAGTGAGTAATTATATACAATGGTTATATCATGATCCCAATTACAACAAGTTTGCCCTAAGTTTAGAACCCATTAGATACTCACCTAGGTGTAAGTCACTTCCTTAGTGCCTTTTTACCAATTAAGAAAACCCTTACAAAAATATCATACTTAGCTTATTTCCATTCTTTATTAGTATTAAAAGTAGAATAGTAACCAAAACAATGCATGATTGGAAGTATAATTAAGAACATTGCACATAGCTAGATTAGATAGAAACCCAATTCCAAACTAATATTAGCTCTCTGTGGATTTGATCCCGACCTTTCGGGTAAATGTTGCATCGACCACTCTTGCCATTCTATAGTGGTACAGTATTGGAACCGATCACTTTTTGGCGCCATTCTCGGGGAGCTAAACGGTTTTGGCTATCTATCTGACTAGTTTTGTGTCTTGTTTTTCTTTCCTTCTATTTTACTAACTTGTGTGAGTCAATTGATTTAGGTACAAAATGGCAAACAATGATAATCTTGGAAATGTTCTCCCGGGGGAAGAGGTAGATGATATTGGCAAATATGAGGTGCCTCTAGTACCTCAAGGTCAAAGAAAAGTCCGCCAGGCCAATGACAATATTCCAGACCCTCCCCCACCTCCTCCAAGAGTCGCTCCTCGGGTGCTTCCAAATGAAGGGTACGCCAATGCAATTGTCCCACCTCAGATCTGGGTGGGCTATTTCCAAATTACAAATGTGATGTTGACTTTATTGGAGCAACGAGGGTACTTCACAGGTGCTCCCCATCAGAATGCATATAAACATCTAAAGGGTTTTGTGGATACCTGTTGGGGAAGCAAACAGATAAATGTGTCAGAAGATGCATTGAGATTGAGATTGTTCCCTTTTTCACTTAGAGGGAAAGCATTGGACTGGCTCGAAATACTTCCCAACCATTCTATCACTACGTGGGATGAGTTGGCCGACAAGTTTATAGCTAAGTTTTTCTCACTAGGGCATATGTTGACATTGAGAGATGAGATCTTGGCCTTCAATAGAAACCTAATGAACCACTTCATGAGATCTGGGAAAGGTATTGGACAATGGTGAAAGAATGTTCGAATAATGACATGACCGATGCAATGATCCAGCAAACATTCTACCGTGGCATTAACATGACCAATTAGTGTGTAGTGAACCAGCTAGCAGGGGGAAATTTTATGAACACACCTTATGCTGAGGCGTGTGAGATATTGGATGAGATGACAGATACTTCCTTGGCTTAGCAAAGTCAAGCTAATGTGCCACCCGAGGGGATCCCACTGTCATTCACCTACACAAAGAGCTCCATGACCATGGCCAGGCAATAGCAGAGTTACCTACAACAATGAACCAGTTGGCAAAAGATCAATTGCAACAAGTTCAAGCGCCGAGACAAGTAAATGCTATGGAAGGTGTAAACATGTTGGTCAACAAGAGGCGAAAAAGAGGTCAAAAAAGCCAAGGAAGTTCAGATCAATATGAGCAGGGTAGTGGTGGTTTCAACCAAGATGATGGGTATGATGAGCAAGTGAAGAAGTCCAGCATGTGAACAATTACCAAGGACAAAGAAGCAATGCTCCTAACGAACAACAACAGTGAAGATCCTAAGGAAATTGGGGAATCAAAACCAATAGGGAAATAGCAACTGGGGGAATAACAACCAGAATTGGGGCAACCAGAACAACTAGGGCAACTGGAGTGGCAACACCAACAATTAAGGAGGTAACAACAACCAAGGGGGTTGGAATAATGGCAATCAAGCGAATCAAGGGCAAGGCTTTCAAAGACCTCCAATGTATCAACAATCAAACAACCCGCCTCCATTTTTGTCCCAAGGTCCTAGCTCGTCAAACAATGAGATGGGAAGGATCGAGATGATGTTTGAACAAATGATGAAAAAAAATGCCAACTTTGATTCTAGTTGGCATCCTATAATACTTCAATCCGAAAATTGGAGGTTCAACTTGGCCAGATTTCCCAATCTTTAAATACTTGCCCTAAGGGGGCTCTACCTAGTGATACAGTAGTAAACCCTAAGGGTGGGAACAATACCGGGCATGCAATGGCGGTGATCACAAGAAGCGGTAGAGATGATGAAGTGAATACCTCCAAGCAAAAGGAAGTAGTGAGTGATGAGGTTGACGTACAAGATGATGATATTCCTACAGTTGATGATCAAGTGAGTGAAGAGAATTGAATGCTGAATTGAGAATTGATATTCACGATAATAAGGTGGAGCTTCAAAATGACGTGAACCCGTCTAAGGAACACGTAATAGACATACCGGAAACGGTAGTGCCCAAGGCTAAGGCTCCCTTGCCAAGGCCTCCTCCACATTACCCTCAAAGACTTGCGAAGCAAAAGAAGGAAAAACAATTTAAGAAGTTTATTGAGATGATGAAAAGCTTGTCGATTAATGTTTCTTTGGTGGAAGCTCTTTAGCAAATGCCGGGTTACGCCAAGTGTATGAAAGACTTGGTGACTAAAAAGAGATCTATGGATTGTGATACCATCAAAATGACTCATCAAGTAAGTGCAATTGTGCACTCAATGGCTCCAAAGTTTGAAGATCCCGGCGCATTTACCATTCCATGTACTACTGGTAGTGCGGATTTTGCAAAAGCCTTGTGTGATTTGGGAGCAAGTATAAATCTGATGCCTTACTCTATATTCAAAACTTTGGGTATTGGTCAACTGAGACCTACTTCAATGAGATTGCAAATGGTGGATAGAACAATGAAGAGGCTGCTTGGTATTATTGATGATGTTCTTGTCCGGATGGACAAGTTTATTTTGCCTGCTGATTTTGTGATTCTGGACTGCGATGTCGACTATGAGGTGCCTATAATATTGGGAAGGCCTTTCGTAGAAACTGGAAAGGCATTGGTTGATATGGAAGCAGGGGAGCTCACCTTCCGGGTGGGTGACGAAAAAGTTGTCTTTCACGTGTGCAAATCAATGAGGCAGCCGAATAGTACTGAAGTTTGCTCTTTTGTGGATCTTGTCATGGAGGTGATAGTTGATGATACTAGTGCCATGATCAATTTGGAGGATCCTTTAGAGCGGTATTGTTGAACCTTGATGTGAATGAGGATGAAGGTAGGGTGGAGTGTGTCAATGCTTTGCACATAATGGGTTCTTATTCTTATGAGCCCCGTAAGCTTTCTTTGGATCTTGAGAATAGAAAGACTCCACCAACAAAGACCTCAATTGAGGAACCTCCCATTTTGGAGTTAAAGCCTTTGCCTTCATACCTCAGGTATGAATTATTGGGCCCTCATTCAACTTTATGTGTTATTCTTTCATCTTGTCTTACTAACGTGTAGTTAGATGCGACACTGGAGGTGCTCCAAAGAAGGAAGAAGGAAATTGGATAGACTCTAGCTAATATTCGGGGAATAAGCCTGCCTTTTGCATGCACAAGATTATACTTGAAGATGATGCCAAGCCCTCCGTGGAACATCAAAGGAGGTTGAACGTGGCTGTGCAAGAGGTTGTCAAAAAGGAGGTGATCAAGTAGCTAGATGCAGGGGTTGTGTACCCCATCTCGGATAGTTCTTGGACTTCATTGATGCAATGTGTGCCAAAGAAGGGTGGTATGAATGTGGTCACCAATGAGCAGAATGAGTTGATTCCCACCAGGACTGTCACCGGATGGAGGTGTGCATGGACTACCGAAAGCTGAATAAAGTGACCCGTAAAGATCATTTTCCATTGCCCTTTCTTGACCAGATGCTAGATAGACTTGTTGGACGTGCCTTCTACTTCTTTTTGGATGGGTACTCAGGTTACAATCAGATTTTGATTACTCTGGAAGATCAGGAGAAAACCACTTTCATATGTCTGTATGGCACCTTTGTATTTTCTAGGATGCTATTTGGTTTGTGTAATGCACCGGCTACCTTTCAGTGGTGTATGGTAGCTATATTTATCGACATGGTGGATGACTTCTTGGAAGTGTTCATGGATGGTTTCAGTGTTGTGGGTAACTCTTTTGAAGAATGCTTGGGTAATCTTGGCAAAGTGTTGGCCTGATGTGAGGAGACAAATCTAGTGCTTAACTGGGAAAAATGCCACTTTATAGTTGAGGAGGGTATTGTCCTCGACCATAAGATCTCAAAGAATGGTATTGAGGTTGACAAGGTGAAAATTGAAGTGATTTCCAAGCTTCCTCCTCCTACTTCCGTCAAGGGGGTTAGGAGTTTTATTGGGCATGTGGGGTTCTACCGAAGATTCATCAAAGACTTTTCTAAGGTAGTAAATCCTTTGTGCAAATTATTGGAAAACGATGCAAAGATCGTGTTTAATGATGAATGCATGAAAGGTTTTGAACTTCTCAAGTACAAATGGACAGCCACTCCCATTATTACCGCACCCAATTGGAGCTTACCTTTTGAGCTCATGTGTGATGCAAGTGATGTTGCGGTAGGAGCGGTCTTGGGTCAAAGAGTAAACAAGATGTTTCACTCGGTGTATTATGCAAGCAAAACAATTATGGATGCTCAGGTAAATTACACGGTGACGGAAAAAGAGTTGCTAGCAATTGTGTTTGCAATGGAAAAGTTTAGACCTTATCTCATGGGCACCAAGGTGATAGTTCATACTGACCATGCTGCACTCCGCTACTTGATGACAAAGAAGGATTCCAAGGCTCGGTTGATGAGATGGATTCTATTGCTTCAAGAGTTTGACCTTGAGATTGTTGATCGAAGAGGGTGTGAAAACCAAGTGGCGGATCACTTGTCCCGCTTGGAGGAGGAGGGGAGGCCCCATGATGGACTCAAAATTAATGATTCATTCCCCGATGAGCAACTCCTCTCCGTATCTGTGAATAACATGCCTTGGTTCGCCGATGTTGCCATCTTTCTCGTGACCGACATTGTTCCGTGTGAGCTCTCTTCTAACCAAAGGAAGAAGCTTAAATGGGATAGCTTGGACTACTACTGGGAAGAGCCTTATTTGTTCAAAATTTGCAATGATGGTGTAATCCAAAGATGTGTTCCGGAAGAGGAGCAAATGAGTATTCTTGATGCTTGTCTTTCCTCTCCCTACGGTGGCCATCATGGTGGGGCGAGAATGGCTTCAAAGGTGCTTAGATATGGATTTTATTGTCCTACATTGTACAAGGATGTGGGTGAGCTTGTGAAGAGATGTGATGAGTGTCAGAAAGCTGGTAGAATATCAAAGAAGGATGAAATGCCTCTCACCGCTATTCTTGAGGTTGACATATTTGATGTATGGTGAATTGACTTCATGGAACCTTTTGTGAGTTCATGTGGAAACACATACATTCTAGTGGCCATTGATTATATTTCCAAGTGGGTTGAGGTCGTGGCTTTACCCAACAACGAGGCCCGGAGCATGGTGGATTTTCTTAAGAAGAATATCTTTACTCAGTTTGGCACTCCTTGAGCAATCATCAGTGATGAGGGTTCTCATTTGTGCAATAAGGCATGTCAATCACAAGGTTTCAACCCCTTACCATCCTCAGGCTAGTGGGCAAGTTGAGGTCTCCAACAAGGAGATTAAGAGCATATTGTGAAAGACTGTCAATGCAAATAAGACTGATTGGTCAAAGAAACTCGATGATGCTTTATGGGCTTACAAGACTGCTTACAAGACTCCAATTGGTATGTATCCATACCGGTTAGTATTTTGGAAAGCTTGCCATCTTCCGGCTGAGTGAGCACAAGGACATGTGGGCTTTGAGAAAGTTAAATCTTGAGTGGGATGTTGCAGCAAATCTCTGAGAAGAGCAACTCAATGAGCTTGATGAGTTCCGGTTTCATGCCTATTCCAGCTCGTCTTTGTATAAGGACAAGATGAAGTACTTACATGATAAGTATGCCCATAGAAAGGAATTCAAGGAAGGTGACTTGGTTCTCTTATTCAACTCCCGGTTACGACTGTTTCCGGGAAAGCTCAAGTCAAAATGAAGTGGTCCTTTTGAGGTGGGGCTTGTAACTCCGTTTGGTGCTCTTGATTTGAAAAAAAAATGGTGAAATCTTTAGAGTTAATGGGCACAGAGTGAAGCACTATCTTGGAAAGTTTGATGATAGCCACGTGGTGGCAATGATCCATCTCAAATGATTGATGGTAACCTGCATCGTGCCGCGATGTTAAATCAGGCGCTTCTTGGGAGGTAACCCATGTGTTTTTCTTGTTTTTGATTTTCTTCTTAATGTAGGATTTGTTTTAGACTAACTGGTTGTGAGATGCATGTAAGAATGTTTGATGAAGTGCAGGACAAAGCCGGAAAAATTTGGCAGAGTCTGTAGTTGGATCGCTGATAGCGCTCCATTTTTCGCGGTCAGCGGTGGCCAGTTCGCGGAAGTGTAATTTGCTAGCGGACGTGGGCTTGAAAAGTATAAAATGAGACTTCTTTGAAGTTTCACCCGCGTCCGCAGAGGATTTTTTGCGATCGGCGGTGCCATTCCGCGATCGCGTTACATTTCCACTATCAGTGGTGGTGCAAAACAAGCAACCTTTTTGTGGTGACAAAGCGCAGTCTGCGGTGATATTCCGCGACCGCGCCAGGTAATTTCGGTGGGCCCCAGGGTAATTTGTATAAATAGAAGGTCAAGAAACTTTTTACCCTTTTCGATCTTTGAACTCTCAAAGCTTAAATTTTCCTGTTCATCTGAACCCTAATCCGCACAAACACAAAATTAAAGTCCATTTTCATCACTCATCACACAACTGGTAATTTCATTTCATAAATATTCTTTAATTTGTACTTGTTTTTCTTTTATTTGTTAGTTTTTACTTCTTCTTCTTCTTTTCTTTTAATTTTCAATTAGGGTTGATTAGTGTTAATTAAATGATGCTTAAATAGTTAGAGTTCATTAATTAATACCTAGTTGGGGTTAATAGGGTAGATAATATCCGCTAATGGCAAGAAAAATTAAAACCCTAGGTTGCTCAGGTCGTGTTTGAATTCCGCAGCCGCAAATGTTTTTCCGCGGCCAGTGTTCATGTGCAAAAACTGAGTTTGGGAAGTTTGAATACCGCGGTCAGCGATGGCAAAGTCCGCTGGCAGCAGCCTGCTTTACGTTGTCGCGCTATATTTTTTGCAGTCAGCAGTACATAAGTTCACTGAAGTACTCAAAATGGGTTCGGGACAACGGTTGTTTTTCTGCGGACAGCGGTGCAACTTTCGCGGACGCGCCCAACACTCCGCCCTCAGGCAGGACTTTAAAATCAGAGGATGGGTAGTCTGATCCCTATGCCTCCATTACCGCGCCTCCTTTTCCGCTCTCAGAGGTATTAGTTCTGCGGCCGTGCTTCTTTATCTACTAACAACGGTTCTGCAAGTTTTTACAACACTGTCAATTGTTTTTTGCTTTTCTTTACTGCTTCTTCTAGCACCAGTACTAACTATCTTCCACTGACTATACATGCAAACAATGGTTAAAGCAAAAGGTGGCAGTGACAAACAAAAAGTGAAAGCATAGTTCTCCCGGGGTAGGGGACGAGTGTCGACGCCCTCTTTTTCTCTAACTGCGGGGTCAGAAATCGGGTATACAATATTGGGAAGGAAAACTCTATTCCCTTTCGAGAATTGGATTTTGGAATTTGAAGAGTCGCCACCTAATAATTATAGTGCATTAGGACACTTTTTTAGAAGAGTTTGAGTTGGAAAACCAGAGTTCGGGTAAGGGCTAGAAATTATCTCGAGGGGAAGGTGTTAGGCACCCCTCAAGATCCACTAGTGTGGTCCCGGCCATGTTGCAATTGTTACTTTACAAGTAAACAATCAAGGCTCAAATAAGGAATCGCATATAACATTGCAATTAGGTTGAAAACTTTCGAAGGTAAGTAGAGAGGGCGAAAAAATTATGAAACAAAGATTTGAATAGTTTTACAAGAAGAGATGAAAGCACATAAAAGGGAGGGGGGGTCCTAGGCTTATAATTAATATGGATCACTTCAATGCAATATCCAGCAATCACTCCTCAGAAGAGGGGTCGCACGTGATATTAGTGCACCGGTCATCATATCTATATTCTACCCACCCTGTTAAGGTATTAAAGCGCGGAGAGTTTCGTTACTTATTGCATGCTAGTACCCATCCAAATCCTATCAGTCCCGGAGGCATTTAGGACTACTAATCCGAAAGAGAAAGGGATTTAGGGCCTTTTGAGAGTTTCAAAGGACAAAATACTAAGGCGTCAATCAAAACACATAATACAAGTAAAAGTGGAGGCAGATAAACAAGTAAGGCTCAAGTAAACCTCCTTAAATCAAATAAGCCATAGAGTTTAGCATGTCTCGCATGTACTGGTTTGGTCTTTAAAATTAAAGCGATAAACAGACTGATTTAACTCATATTTTTAGATAGGAAGTCCATATGAGGCTTACTCGAATTCAGTCATCAAAGACTGAACCACTTTAATTAGTCAACTTTACCTTAAATGTGGGATAGAACTATTGATTGTAAAGGAGTTGCAGAATAAGATAAGTTTCATAAAGGATTGCAGACTTAATACAAAGAAAATGGTTTAAAACGAGTTTCAGAAGACATACTTGTTTAAGAAAAAGAATTGCCGAGTTTTAGCAAAAGAACTGAATTGCAGATTAATTCAAAAGGGTTTATCAGATAAGTATAAAGAAGTGAATTCAGATTGATTTAAATAAAAAGTTTGTCAAATTATCAGGAAGGCAGTAAGTTTTCAGAAAATATGCACTGATTTGAGAATATTTATCAAGAAGGAAATAGATGCACTGATTTGGTTACAAGAAAAGTTTTAATGGTTCAGAAAACGTGCAGAAAGTCGCTTGCTTTAGCGAGAAGGGGCAGTACTGGTTTAGACGAGTGAAACAATTCCGATTTGAAGTTCCTATATGCATGATCTCTACAAGTTACTGATTTTAATACCTTTCAAACGTTAATAGCCTTACAAACATGATATCTATATGCTGGCTTATCATTAAACCTAACGGTTTGCCTAATGTCATTATAAATGCAGAAACACAAATCCCTATAGGCATGGTATCTATATGCATAGTTGTAGAAATCGGGAAGTTAGATCCTA